AGAATGCAAATAGTCTATTCAATTTGGAAACAAGAGGAAAATGAGCTACATAGCAAATAATACTGACTAGGGAGATGGAAGACTTAGATTCTGGTCCCAGTTCTGCCATTGGCTGTCTGTGTGATGCCTCCAAGCTCTCTAACTTCTCTGGGCTCATTTGCCACATGGAAATGAAAGATTAAATTTTATGAGAGTTCCCCAAGGATTTGTCCATCAAGGTGGCACTTAACAGAAGGGCAGGGAAGGGTTTCCACATCCAGAGGTGGGAGAGGGGAACACAAGTTAGCCACATGCCTTTCTTGTTCCCCTGAGGGACTCTGAGTTTTAGTCCCTTCAGCAGCCCTGGGTTACAGGTGAGGTTTCAGAGAAATAAAAAGGGGACCCTCTCCAGGAGAGCGTTTGGGTCCCTAGGCTCTGGGACCTCTCCTCCTCACTTCCTCACAGTCATTAGGCTCTTCTTCCTGAGGATCATCACAGAGACTCCACAACCTTCCCTTTCAAAAAAAAGAAAAAAACAACTCTTGCTGATGGAAAATTCTTCCTCATACCTAATCTAAGTCCATCTGCTGCAATTTCTGTCTATTTTCTCTAGTTCAATCCTTACTGGAGATGGGGAACAGCTGGTCGCCATCCTCCATATAACATCCCCTCCTAAACCAAAATCAGTTATGACATCACCCCTCAGCTTGTTTTTCTTCTGGCATAACATCCACCATTCTTTCTGACCTGCCTTCATGATTTTAGCTCTGAACGAATCACTGTCATTCTGGCCACATTGGCAAGCTCCAAGATATCCAGAGCTATGGTATCTATGGGTATAGGAGCTGGTGCCAAGAATAAGAGGGAAGGTCAGAGCACAAAGGAATATATGATAACATAGTCCCTGATTTTCATAGGAGGAAACTGAAAGTCAGATAAGGCCCAAGGTCAAATCTAAGGTATTAGGCTCCATACACCGAATTCCAAGCACGTATATTTTAGAGACAGGGTTTCACTGTGTAGCCCAAGCTTGACTCAAACTCACAATTCTGCCTCTGTATCTGAGGGCTGGAATTACAGGTGTATGCCACCATGCCTAGTTCAAACTCCAAATATTACAAGAAAATAGCCTGAGTAATCACAGCCTATCCTCAATGCAGGAAAAAGCAGAATCAGACTTACCTGAAAACTAAAGTATGCCCCTACCCACTAGCAGATGTCTGAAATTTCACTGTACACAATTTTTTTATTTCCAATAAGAGCTCAAATACTGGGTTGGGGTATAGCTCAGTGGCAGAGTGATGCCTAGCATATGTGAAGCCCTTAGTTCCATCCTCAACATTGGAAAAAATTTAAGCATCAAATGCTTAGTGAGACAACACTGTTAACTATTTGCATCCTAGTATTAATGAATAGATTTTATTTTTACCAATTATTGATAGATTCAAAGGTGAGAAGTGAACAAAGAAACTGTGAGAACGGCAGACAAATTGCACTGTTTGCTAATGCTTCCAAGGTCAATCTGAACCATGTGGGGGTTGAGGAGGGGCCCTCCACACTGTGGAGCAGTGGGACCTTGTATCTGATGGGACTACCTGCCCCTCCCCCAAAGCTCAGACACACTGACCCTGTCTGCCTCATGCAGACCAGTAAACTGCCAGGTGTTCTGTGAGGCCTATGGTAGAATTGAACTTGGCAAAAAGATTACCTCATTGCTCCCACAGGGCCAACTCCCAAAGGCATGCCAGCATTCCTGAAGTCTCCTGTTAACTCTCTGAAGTGAGATGAGCAGAACAACTAAAAGTAAATCTCATCTAGGTTGCCCTTAAATGATAGAAAGAACCAGAGAGGAGAGAGGAAAGAGAGGTACACCTGTCTAATAGATTAAGATTACTCAGGTACGTGTTTCAAGGTGAAACAGCTCCCCAATTGGGTGGAAGGAAGAAGTATGTGAATGTAAAGGTGAGTGAGTCCAATAAACTATTTGCTGTTCATACTTTTTGCCTGGGAAATTTTTCTAAATGAAGAATGGAGAGAGAAAATGAGATTGTGGGGAATACATTTCAGAGTTTTGATTTCAAAACAGGCTTCTTTCTATTTTGAATAAACAGGATCACATTATGCTCCAACCTTGACAACTTTCAGGGATTTTTCCAGGTTGTTTTGGGCCTCCAGACAACACCCTCTCCAATGACAAGTGGGGGGTTCATATATCCAGAAAACAAGACATTGTGACAGAATTTACCAAGATAGCCAACCCAATAAACTAGCTTATTTGATTTCCCTCAACCTCCTACAAAAGTAAATTTTAAAATAGAAAACAAAAAGACACTGTTCTGCTAAAAAAAATTCGATGTTTTCAAACCTAGTTTAGGGGATAGTTTAACAGTAAAATGGGAAGAAAATGACAAGATCAAAGTGGGTTGGCAATAAGATTATTTGTTGATGCACTTATCAAGAAGAGAGATGACAGGAAGGATGATAGGGATGGAGAATCAGAAAATTAGGAGCAGGACTAAAACTTGTCATTCTAAGTAAATCACCCTGGGCTACAAAAGCAGAGAAACGCAACCCGTCTACCCCCCAGCAGCTGAATGACAGAAATCCAGGTTGACCAACTGGGAAAGAAGAAAATGCTAAATCTCTAAAAGGTACTTGTCCAGTATCCTGACTAAAGCTATCATGTTTGCCAAAATGACAACAAATTTAATTTCCCAAGCATCAATCAGCCCTTTCACTTACAGTCACCCAGATTCACAAGGAGTTAATTAACCTCACACCAGCGATGAAATTCTCCAAACTGGATCACAGCAGAGGCACTGGATGCGGGGTTTCACACTCCACCCCATCCAAGGTGAAGCTGTGATGAGCATGTTTGGGGTTTTGTCTATTATTCTTCAGCTTCTATACTCCTGCTCTTTCTTTCTTTCTTTTTTAGCTTAAGTTGTTATTTTAATGATCTCTGTTCCAAATGAGGAAATACAAGGAAGAGAAATGAGGAGGAGGGAGAGGGAGGAAAAGCAAGTGCTCTCGTATGTCCCACTTGTACTTTACAAAGCTCCCTCAATTCCCTCCCCCACTCAGCCTTTCCCTCTGTGCATGAGTCACCATCAGGAGCTGTTTTCAATGCCTTACTTTTAATGTTCTTTATCATGATAGACATCTAACATATTAGCATCTATTAAACTGACCTCCCCCACCCCTGTGCTGCTCCCAATTCCTGGCCCTAGATACTCCTATAACTCAAAATTTGTGACTGTCTTCATGAAGATCAAGGTGCCTATGTTCAGGATTTCCTTGTACTGATTGCTACCATACCTGGTCTCTCTGGGGGTCATATGGCCTTGGCAGACCACAGAGGACCAGATCCCTGATCAAATTTGCCAAGCAATTGAGAAAAGTTCACTTCTGATCCATCTCCCGGGCCCCAACATAAGGGACTCATGGTGTGCAGTTCTCCAAGTTTGTTTTGCTTACTGCCAGACAGCATGTGCAGAAGAGAAAGCTGACTGTATCCTGACCACCAACAAAAAAGTCAGATGGTGATTTGTTTTTTAACCATTGTGAGTACAGCTTCCATAATAGCAGTTCCCACCCAAAATAGCTGCTGAAAGGAGATGGAGGAAAACCTGTTGTTATGTGCTGGTGAAGGAAAATAAGAATTAAATAGGGAAAGGAATTTGTGGAACCCAAAAATGGAGCTGTCATCTACACCTTTGTAGGAAGTGTCATAGGGGAGAGGTGTTGCTGAAGAGAACCTCCCAGGACTTCCGGGATTCAGGTCTGGGACAGAAATCAGAGGCAGAACATTCACTGGAATCTCTTCCACCCCAAAGCTTTGGAGGCTTTTAACATTAGCGGGTACAACCGGCTGCATAGCGGGTGAAGTGCGGAAACTGGAACTGCCCGCATGAAAGTAGGAAGTTCAAGACCAAGTGCACCACGTTTTCCCGCACAGGAGCACCTGTCTAACATCTCCTCGTGGCAGAACAGGGGAAAGCCATTTTTCCCCCAGGACCCAAAAGTGATTTTGAGAGCAAGCGAGTGGGCCAGCGTTCTAGAATATTCAAGGTGCTGCTGGGCTGAACAAGCTGCCCACTACGGCGGCCAGGTTTTGCACTTGAAGAGCAGTTATCATCAGCAGTGTGGAAGGTGACTTCAGCAGCATCTTTCCGCCACAGATGCACCTGTGCCCCTCAACAGAGCCAGACCCCAGCAGCTTACCCCTCCCACCCACTTTCACCTTCCTCAGCTTCTGAAGACTGGAGGCTGGACCCTTCTTTAATAAAGGTGTAAGGCATCCAGGAGACAAATGCACCCCCTTCCCCAGGGTTTCAGGACACACCAAACCTGGAAAGTCTCGCAGAGTTTTCAGGAGCTAATCAATGAAGTGATTTCTCTTCCTCTAAGAAGGTTTCTGTTGGTTTCTCACCAAGTTGTGTGACACACGGGATTACTGCTGGGGTCAACAGAACGGGTCCCCACGCCAAATAAAATAAGCCAAGGTAGAGTGGGCAAGGGGGCAGTGGGGAGAACGAAATGGAAGCTTGAGGAAGACTTGAGTTGAAGGTCATAATAGTTTGGAGAAGGTATGTCAAGGTAATGTAGACCAGGCAGACCCTGTGGGGAGGGGGGGAGGGGATCCACACCACCAATTTCTCAGACCCAGCCTCACAAGGATGGGTCACAGCTGCATCCTAGGGTCCAGGATTTAGCTTCCCTCTCTCAGCAAACCTGGGTCTACACCCCAACCCTGCAGGGCCCCTGGCCCAAGACCAGACCCATTTCCACAGACCTGAGCTCAGCTAATTAAGAGTCGTAAACAAGACCAGCTCTTGACAGCGCACAAGTTGTCCAAATTGTAAGCTTGTTTTCCTTCCAACAAAAGACAGTGAATTCCCACCTTTGTCACATTTCCTCCCTTAAACTTTTCTTTCTGCAATCCCTCCACCTCTGCTAGAACGGCAAGCCCCAGAGAACGCACACGCAGGAGCAGCACCCCGGGACGCAGGCAAAGGTACCTTTTCCGCGGGCGGAGCAGAGGGGCTGCTGTCCAGAGGCTCGCTGCCCTGCCGAGCCGTGGAGGATGGAGCACGCTGAGATTACGCGTTCCTGTCTCTGCGACCAGACCTTTCAGCAGCTCCGACCAACTGTGCTAGCGATGCACTTAGCAATTATCTGCTGGCGCCGACGCCCCGCCCTCTGCTCTTGCGATTGGCTCTCTAATCCTGGGCAGGACTGCATTGGTCTCAGCCGACCTCACTCATTGCTTTAGCTCCTACTATTATCTAAGCCATCAAAGGAAATAATTCCATGTTTCATTGACAACCTGTAAGGCTCGCCTCTGGCCCGTGCAGGGGCAGAACTGGGAGTCCAGTGGAAGGAGGGACGGGAGGAAAGTAGGAAAAGGTAGGGGTGGGGGAGAGGGGACGCGAGGGGGTGGGGGGGGAGGAGAAAGAGAGAGAGGGAGAGAGAGAGAAAGAGAGAGAGAGAGAGAGAGATCAAATTCTTGTTCCAGCATTTTTAACTTTCACAAAACAGAGCCGATAGCAACATTTTTTTGGCCGTAATCCCGCCCCCGCCCCTTTTACTGGTAACTGTTCCTGAAGGTAGAGAGAATTAGAACAGTGGGATATCTGCTGGTGTCAAACCGCCTCTCAAAAGCAGCACTAGGTTGGGGGCTGAAGAAATAGAGTGATATTTTACACCCTGGAGGGCATGTGAAGGTCATTGTAGATTGTTTGGGGGGAACATATTATTTGCCTTAACTGGAATTTATCTGTCAGTTCTTTACCTCGTGATCCCTCTTACTATAGTCTGAGAATACAATTTCCCTCTGCACCCTATTCAAAGAGCCTCAGAAGAGCTGCCCTTAAAGTTGATAAAAGTCTGGACTATCTCAGATTCTCACCAGGAGGTGCAGATGAACAGGTATTCTGGAATCTAACGGTTTTGCTGGGCTCTTTCCTTTTGCTTATATTGTCCTGTCTCACATAATTGCTTAGACCTGAAGGGATGGACAAGCACCCTCCAGCCCTTTGACAGCTTTGCTTTTCCGGTTCACCATGGAACCACAGGGCACACGCTTTAACTTTTTTCCCTAACTTAATCTACTTAATCATCATACAGAAAGGAAGTAAATGGAAGGGGAAAAAATTAAAGGGTCTTTGAAAGAAAGCTCTTAGAACTATACTATGCCTGCATTGGAAGCTAAGCAAGATCAGACTTAGTTATTATCAGACCTAGTTAGTATTTGGATAGGAGAAAGGTCCTTAGAAATAGTTTCACGGCTGTGGGTACAGCACAGGCACCTGACATCTGTGTGGATTCTGTCTCCAGCACGACAAAACAAAACCAAGAGCAAAAATCGATGTTCAGGTCAGTAAGAAACTGGCCTTTTGGTCTGCCTATAGATCCCAGATCCCATAGATCCCAGATCTTTCTGGGATTATAGTCCAAAGCTACTCCCAGCTCCCTAGGGTCCTAAACAACTGCCGTTCATTTCCTCAATAGCAAATGATGTGTTTCCCACCACCTGCTAGGGTGAATTTCTATTTCATGAATACATGCTTGACTTCCTTAAATATATTTTGAGCTCTGTAAGGACAGAGATGGTGTCATGTTTGTCTTTATAACTGCACAGACAACACCTAACACTCAATAAGTGGGCTGACTCCTAAAACTCAGTTCAAAACCTAAAGTGTACAGCTCTAAGCCTTGGGGGATCATCATTCCACTGTGATTGCTCACCTGGCTGGGCAGAATGGAAGGGGCCACCCTGGAGTCCAGGAACAAAAAACAAAAATTCAGAACTGAGCACTATGGAATGGCACAGCTTCTGAACTCCCAACCAGGCCCTCACTCCCTGCCTTCTCTCTGAAAAATGAAGCACCTCTTCACACAATGCCTTCTCCCTCAAGTGTCCCAGGGAATAACAAGATGTTGGATGCATGGATTTTATGCCATCATCATCACCTCAAAAAAGTAGTCACTTCCATATTGACTGCATTTGGAATGACTGAAAGGAGGGTGTCCAGATATTAGGAATCAAAAACAAGGTCAAGAGATAAAGAAAAAATAGTTGTTTGGTCTATATAAAATTATGCAAAGGTTCAATGATGAAATGAAACACATTTAAAATCGACACTGTCACAGAAAATCTGGGGTGTTCAGACATGGTGTAAAACCCATAAATAACACTTTTGTAATTTAAGCTATATGATTTCCACTTCTAAGAGGAGCTTTGTATCTGCATGCTATCTCCTCCTCTCACCACCAAATAAAGAAAAGGAAAATGAGAGAGAGAGAGAGAGAGAGAGAGAGAGGAACAAACTAAATCATAAGAGCTCTCTTGAGCACCTATCAAAGGCTCAGTTGTCCCTGAAGGGAAAAAAAACATTTTAAGTGATTTTTCTAAAATGCTTTGTCTAAAACAGCATATCCTTACATGTATGTTTTGGCTTTTGAAGATGAGAAAGAGAGAGAAAGAGACAGAATGAGAATGAGCTGCAAACAGTTGTTTATGTCAGTGCCTTTTATACTGTTGGTCATAAAATATTCTCTTTGAGAGAAGGATGATCCCTTTGTGCCCCATAGATCAACTGCTTAATTCTGTGAGTTAGAGATTGCATATTAAGTATGTAGATTCCACTGGTACTTGCATTTGTATTAAATATCAGCTCCATACAATTTAAATTCATTGGGGTATGAAATGTACCAAATTCCATTTCGTGGCAGTACTCTGACAAAGTAGTCTGTTTGATTTAACATTTTTAGTGTGTTGAGGGTATGAAAGGGTTTAGAGGGTTCCTGTTCTATTATGAGTTGGGTAATTAAGTAAAGAATGAGTTTCTTTATTAACATGCACATTAAACATAAGCTACCTGCCCCACTGTCTTTCCAGTGGACAGCCACTCAGAACAACTAATCACCATGGCCTTCAGTGAGGGATGGAGAAATCTAGCATTTACTACTCTGTTTATATCATTTTCTCAGCTATCATTTATTTATGCCAAATTCTGTTTCTAGAAGGGAGAGAGGAGAATAAATCTAGGCTATGCCAAGAAAGAAGGAAATGTGTGAAAACAGGGGGAAAATTTTTTAAAAAGATGATTACTTTCTGCATTACATCTTTACTGACTTGAGCTGCTCAATGCCATTTTAATGCAAACATAATATTAGTGGGATATCTTTCTTTAAAATCTTATTAATAGTACTGCATAAATGAAAGGTTAAAACTTTTCCCAGCTCAGCTTCCTAAGTACAGAAACTTGAAGGAATAGCTTTCCAATTGAACTGACTGTTGTAAAATTTTATGTAATCAAATTCCCTCCCTCTCTACCTCCCCAGTGCATCCCCCAAATCAAGCCTCAGGAGCCAGTGACATTTCCACAAAGTACAAGAGGAGACTGGGGCTGCCAGGAGAGTGCCAATCACCAGGAACTGTTCTTAATGATTTCATTAATTACTCATGAGTCTTCGGGAAGTTGATAGTAGATAGACAGGGCTTCACAATGTTTCAAGACAGTAAGGAATATTTTATTATTTAAAACACTGCTAAATAAAAACAGGTGATTTGTTCTCTCAAGTTGTGATTGTATTTATTAGTGAGTGGATTTTGAAAATAAACTGAGGGAGCCAGAGAGAGACAGAGAAACAGAGAGAAACAAACAGATACACAAAGATTTGCAAGGCTAAATTCTGTTTTGCTTTAGTTAAATTCTTCATAAGAAATATAGAGCTGAAGCTGTCATGAAACATTGTCCAGCAATGCAGCAATTGACAGGAGTTAGAGAATTGAATTAAGAAGGTCAGCATGTCTTCCATGGGGCTGGCAAATCTCATGCAGCATGAAACAAACACCATTCAGGATAAAAGTCTATGTGTAGGAATATGGCTGCTGGAACTCCCACCAGCCAGCACTGCATCCTAATCCAGGATGAAGCACCCATCAGTTGTGTTTACAGTACATGTCACACTTGATCTTCTCATTCAGAAAGCAAGGTGATAATGCTGTTTTAAGGCTGATAAGAGAGTGATGGCTAGTCAGCTTACAAAAGGGAGGGCACAGATGTCTTGCTACAGAATGTTGGGCTTGGTGACTTCAGCAGTATAGGCCAATATAAATGATATCTGACTAATTCTACTGGACCAGAAGGCAGATCAATTCTCAGAGGAAGACTTAGAGATGCTCAGAGGACCAGAAAGATGCTCGATGCTCTGGGCAAAGGGTCACGGAATTTGGCAATGAGATTTCATTTTGTATTGCCTAAGGAATAGATGAACTGTCTTATGAATGTATACCATACTGGACGAGAGGCCCCAGGGCCATGAAGGCATTGTCCAAGTGATATGCCAAAGTGTCTTCAAATGTGCATGTTTTGTTACTCAAGCCATGTGAATTTTGTATTCTACTCCAAAGTGTATCCATGTATGCTTCTAGTACATGATTTTAAGAAAGATTTTCCCTAAAAATGTGTACGGCACTGACTTTTTGGAAAGATGCTTTATGATTGTGAAGCCTGAGGCTTGAAAACACAAGCTTAATATCACCAGTCCACCCTCTTCCTGGCTTACAGACATACCTGAAATTTGGGCCCATCTCATCTGATAACTTTATTCCATTTTCCAACTAGTATACATGGGATGCCATCACATCCTTTCCACGAGCACATCCTGACTTTCCATGGCTCCCTGAGTTTCCTTTTCCACCCTGCTTTTGTGTAGTGAAGTTATTGTCATCCTTCAAGGTCCAGCCCAATCTCTCACCACTCTTTTCTGCCAGGCCATTTCAAATGTGTGACAATTTAACTCAAGTTAAAATAAACCACTTTTTGTTTTCATATGGCCCACACCATTAACCAACCAACAATAATGATCACAGCCATTAGAACCTTGTGGAACACATTTAGAAATCCTTAAAAGAATAGATTGTTGATATTATGGCTAGAGGCAAGTGGATGCATTCACAAAGGGAAGGTCATATCAAGATATTCTGGACTAGTCAAGATGTTCCTGGGAGAATGAAGCATCTCATCTTTGTATCTTTGACATCTACAAACAAATCTCAGCATGAGAAAGTAGAGAGCTGAAAGCGTTACAATCACAGTAGGACCAGATTTCCTCCTTTTATCTACTCTTTGTTCTTC